GAAAGAAATCAGGAGAGGTTATAAGTATGTATGCTTAACTAAGAACATATTGAAAGGCGCTGTCAACTGATCAGTTGTTTTCTATTAACCTATTACGATGTAATTGCCACACTGACTTAGAGGGGTCTGCTCTCTATGCCTACAACATTTTAGGGACAAATGAAATAAAACATCATTGAATACGAGTCCGCAGTGTGCCCTGGCAGCCAAAAGAGCCATCTGTGTCTGGGTGCATGAAATACAGCATAGCTGTGTGAAGTGGTGCAACCCCACCTCAAGTACTATGTGCATTTTTGGGTACCTCAATATAAGGACAACAATGTATGTCCAGAGGAGGGCATGGTAAAAGTTACTGAAGGCAAGACTCATGGGAAGCAGCCCAAGTCACTAGGCATTTTCAGCTTAGAGAAGGCTGAGGGGTGCCGTTATTGCCCAGCTTCCTCAAGAGGGGCAGCAGAGGGGCAGGTGCTGATCTCCCTTCTTTGCTGAGAAGCTGGACAATCACTGGAAGAGGCTCCCCCCAGAAGCACTAAGCTTGTCATAGTTCAACAGGCAGCTGGATGATGCCTTTTAGTCATATGATTTAGGTTTAGGTGGTGCTGCAAGAAGACAGGAATTGGACTCAATGATCCTTCCGACTTGAGATATTTTATGTTTCCACAATCCAGATCTGTAGTAAGTGCCTTACAATGACCAAGATTTCTGTCTGATCCTAATTCCAACAGATCAAGGCAAGTTAGTGTTTACTATTCCTTATTTATTCTTCTGAAGTGCTTTCTGAAACACTTCAAAACCAAATACCAAATCACCAAGCATTAAAGACTAGCTACATACTCAAATATTTTGGTGACACTTAATGGGATCCACAGTCAGAAATCCAGGTCTGCCCTCTGCTGGCTATTCCGTATTTGTTTCCACTTTAAAACAAAACTGTGGCACCATCAAGGCTTATACCAAGCAAATTTACCAGTGAGGAGTACATCAGTACCTTGATTCTTCTTTCTGAAGAACAATTCACTGAACACCTCTATATGCAGAGATTAATAGATTGATCAATATACTTTATTGAAAGCAAATTTTGAATAAGTATGCATGTATTTCTGCTGATTTACAAAATACAGCAAAAGAAAAACGCACACTTCATGTATTTGCCTGTAGAATATTTTGCTTTTCAGGCTACATTACTATAGTCAGAAAGGAAACTGATAGGAGACACACTGAAGATGCTAAAATCATACTACTAATATTACTACTGCAGCAATGCTCATCTTCTTTGCATTGTGAGATCAATGTCATGCTCACTTTAGGCCACTTTTGCAAGAACAATATCTAGCTGGCATATGTTTTAAATGATTGGTAGGACTGTAATTTAAATGACACATTCTCGAAGGGCTTGGCCTTGCCTCTTAAAACCAACAAAGAAAGCTCTATTCAACTCTGCTATTTGGCTGAATTTAAATAAGAAAGCAGTCACAAATTAGAAGTTTCTGAAATTTAACCTAGTATACACAGACTAAAAAAGAAGGACCAGAATGTTTAAATTACTTAGGAAAGGTTATTAGAACATTAATCTCATTTTACTGGACTATCATTTAGCTAATACTTGGAAAAAATAAGGAAAATTAAATACCATCATCATCATAAGCATACAAAAAGAGCATACACTGAACAACCATACTGTTTCCATCTTACTTGCAAAGCACTATATGATTATTCACGTATAATCCAATACCTCTTGAAATAAAACCAAAAAGGAAATGCAAACAGCAGTCTACATACAAGCACTGGGAAACTGGAAATTGGTGGTGCTAGGACAGTTCTTATCTAAGCTCAATAGCAAACTTCAGGGAGAGGGAAATAATATTTATTTCTGATATATGATGCACTATAGTACTAGATAAGAATCTCTCCCATTCTGGAAAACTAGAAAAATAGTAAAAGCAGGTAGACGGCTACTTAAATTTTATTAGTTGTGCTGCAGTACTTTGTAAGAAGATAAGGAATAATTTATTTCAATGCCTTGAAAAATAAAAAAATGTTCTCTAATTTCAATAAAGAAATAGCAGGAATTGGAGCAGTTAAGGCAAATGAACCACAAACAAGAGGCTGAAGAACAGCCCTACCACAACATGAAAGCCATATAGAACATCGGTTGAAATATTACCTACATAAAAGGCAGAATTAACTGTTCTTGACCAGGTGCCCCTCAACGGCATCCTGTCCCTCGGCCATGTCAACTGCACCACTCAGCTTGGTGGTGTGTACACTCACTGAGAGTGTACTCAATCCCACTGTCTGTCATTGATGAAAGTATTAAGCAGTACTGGTTCCAGTATGGACCCCTGTGGGACACCACTCATCACCAATATCCATCTGGATATGGAGCTGTTGACCACTGCCATCTGGAAGCATCCACTCAATAAACTCCTCACCCACTGAGGAGTCCACCCATCAAATCCACTTTTCTCTAATTTAGAGAGAAGGATGCTGTGGGGAACCATGACAAAGGCCTCACAGAAGTCCAGATAAATAACAAGGTGTCCTAACCCTGTGAAGGACAGTCTCTTGCAATGTTCTTGGAAATCACTCATGGACAGTCACAGCAGCTCTATTCGGATTCCTCCTGTGGTTCGAGTCCTAATAGTTGTTTGTTTTAAAAAAAACGCACTTAACTTGCAATAACATTCAATGTCAATTTTCAATCCTGCATTCACCTAGGATTACCCAGCTGTGTGTGAGAGAGGGCCACTGCATGTATGAGTCTGCAAATGACATCACCAACACTACACATTTCAAAAAATGCTTGCTCTTGATCTAGCACTACCACAAGAAACAGTTGTGTGGGTTACAGAAAGGGACAGCTCAGCTGAACAACAGAAAAGCACCTCTCATCTCAACCTATTTCCTGTATTTTTTCCTAGCACATTTCTATGTAGCGCATGGGGTCTGGAAGCTGGTAAAAGAGGATTTTGAACACATAGACAGCACATTCCTTGATAAGCAAGCCAATAACATGCATTCTTACGAATTCTTACGACAATATTTTTATGTTTTAGGGAAGAGGGTGTCACCAACAACAGAGACCCCACAGACCTAATTTAAAACAAAAACAGCTGAATTAAAAACCAAATTATAGTATGAGCTACCAGTTGAGTAACCTATGCATCCGTCAGTGTCATATAACCTGCCTGCTTATGGGAAAAATGCCTGCTTGGTAAGAGGATGATAATGTAATGCAGTGTGGCTTCCTTCTGCAAAGACAACACTGCAGCACTTGTCAGCTCTTCAGCCACCAGTTTCTTTTCCTATGATAAGGTTTTAATTCTATGCTACAGCTTTTCATAGCCTTGAAAACATTGTCTTGACCTGATTGTGTTGAACAAAGAAAGTAGAGGGGATGTATTAGCACCTACAGGAAAGAAACACAATAAACATTCTATACTAATATACCATAGCACCTTCTAGTGGCTCCAAAATCAAAAGTAAAAATTACTGACTCGTACTACATGAACATGCACGCTCAGAAATCTGTAGTCACACACATCAGTCATGCAGCTCTTTAGCCAGCTAAAGAATAGAAAATACAAATGCTGGGGAGCACAAAACAACACTAGAGCATCAAGTACAAAAATAAAGAAAAGTATATCAGATTTTAAATTATCCTACAAATTCTCTTGGGAGAGCAGATTTAGCTATGAAAACAATGAAACCTTCTTGTACATCATTAAGAACAACATAAATTGGTATGGTTTTGTTCTTTTTTTGTTTGTTTTTTCCTTCAAAGTAATATGGGATTGACAAATGACTTTGGAAAAATTCATGGTTAACCATTTACAATTACAAATTGACCCTCAGAAGCCAATCTTGAATATAATTTATCAGTGACTATCTCTTGGAAATACAGAATGGGTATGTCCATTATCGCATAGTAAGCTAGGTTTGGTAACCAAAATCTCTCCCAACTGTTAGTAGTTTATGACATTTATTATATCAAGACAAGCCAAAGAAAGGATCTCAGTAAAAACTCTCAACTCAGCATTAACTAAAGGTTTTCGTCTTGCAGTTTGCTTTTTAATTAAGGCAGCAGCTAAATGAACAAGTCCTCCAAATCTTAAAAACAAAAGAAGTACTTGCACAAACCAGAAGACAACCCCTAGATTTCTATTCACAATTTATATTCTCACCACGTTCTGTAAATGCAGCTACTTCATTACAGACACATAGAATATGTGGTTCCGTATTTATTTACAAGAAAAGAAACCAATCTACTTCTGTTAAACTTGAGGCCACTGCATTTAAGCCTCCGAGTTACAATTCAATATATACTGATGATGAAACACTTTCTACTTACATCTTTATCTGTGCAAAGAACAGCATTAATCAGCAATATGCAGTGTGCAAAACCTGACCTTTCTGGAACCCCTATGAGATTAAGGGATCACAGCTAGTTTTTCATCACAATACTGCTGGCACAATTAACTTGGGTTTCAAGTTAAGGAGAGCACCTTATAAATAATATTTGATATATTTTGTGGTACTGAAGAAGATCTGAATCGGGGTAAATTCTGAACTTAAAAAAATGTAATTGACTCCAAATTAAGTCAAATAAAACTTTTTTTTTTTACACAATGTTTTTACTAAATGATGGCTCCATCAAAAACTGAAAATCAACAATGCAGAAATTGGATCCTTTCTGTAGAATATGTTTATTCAGACAAGTTTATTCTCTACTCCACACCTTTGCAAGGCATTAGATTATGCAGTTATATTAAAATATTGGGAAAAATATATGCTCCTACAGTAACAAATGAATTTTAATGAGTTCTGTTTATATGAAGTTGTAGATGTCACTAGATTACCCACTATTTTGAAAATTATTATTTATCTGTGGTCTAATTTCACCTTTCCTGTTCTTTTCCCCATTCATCTCCACAGTCATCTTGCTTTCTTCAATGCAGCTTATAGTGAAGGAGAAGATAAAGAATAGTTACAGCTAAATGAAATTAAATTAAAACTTTTTTGGTTTGTAATGTCTTTCCTGTTATGTAGGAAGCCATTGAAATATCTGACAGAAATCTCATAAACCCTTATTTCAGTCTAATTTCTACGGCACAATATGCCAGAAAAGTCTTCTGAAGACTGACAAGCTTTCTACTGCAGCAATATAATTTAGCTATTCATTTCTATCTCAGTATTGACCATGACTTATAGCACCTCTTTGCTCAATTATGATTCTTGTTTGCCTCATTCTAAAAGCCAGATGTTTTACCCTTAAAGAAAAAATCATCCCATCTCAGTAGAGGAAAGACCCCACCTGCAGTCCTGCATCCAGCTCTGGAGCCCTCAGTACAAGACAGACATGGTCTTGCTGGAGCGGGTCCAGAAGGCTGCTACAAAATGATCAGGCAGTTAGAACACCTCTCCTATGAAGAATCCCTGAAGGAGTTTGGGTTGTTCAGCCTGGAAAAGAGAAGGCTTCAGCAAAACTTTATTATGGTCTTCCAATACTTCAAGGAAGGTAATAAGATGGGAACAAACTTTTAACAAGGCCTATAGCAACGGGACAAGGGCTTTTAAACTACAAGAGGCTAGATTCAGACTACGCATCAGGAAGGAGTTTCTTACAAGGAGGACAGTGAGGCACAAACAGGTTGCCCAGAGAGATGATAGATGTCCCATCTCTGGAAACATTCAAGGTCAGGTTTAGACAGGTTTGCTCTAGCAACCTGGTCTACTTGAAGATGGCCCTACTCATTGCAGGGGGTTGGACTAGGTGACCTTTAAAGGTTACTTCCAATCCACACCATTCTATGGTTCCCTTTTTAAATTTCATAAAGTTTTATTGAATTTTCCTATGCAGACAAGACTGACTTTTCTATATAAACAAGTGACATTAGTACTAAGTGTTTACAGAAAAGTAGTATGTTTGACTTTAAAGTCTTTTAGCTTTACAGTATAAAGTCTGGTCATTTCAAAAGACTAAAAGCATGAACAATAATAGTTTTTCACAGTAATTCAATAAATTAAGTATTTTAATTGTCCATCTCACAGTAACTATTTACTCCTCCATAAAGGAAAACTCAAGTACGTTAACAGTTTTCGTTGCAAAAACAAGAAGAAATCTCCACTGAGTTTTAACACAAGGCAAGTCGTATTGGATTCTCTATGTTGGCTTTCAAAGTCTCCAGAAACTTTGAAGCCAGTTCATCATCTACCACCCGACCATCGCTTGAAAGAGTCACTGTCATGAGTTGGCGCTGCTCGAGTTTCTCATTTCCTTCTTCATCTTCCACAAGCTTGAGCTCTACTCTTGCTCGTCCCACAGCAAGGATGCAGGCCTGGGGAGGGTTTATGACTGCAGTGAAATCACTGATGCCAAACATGCCCAGATTAGAGATGCTAAATGAAAGAGAAAAGGGTTACTAGTAATGTCAGAAATTATATAACACCTAGAAGAAATTATCTATATTCAGTGGCTACTATGACCTAATTCTCTCCCAAGGCCAAACCCATTAACTTTAAAATATATCTAAACTGGATTTCAGTTGTGCACGTTTACATTCTCAAGGGTTTGGGATTTTTGCAGTTACAACCAATGCACCTTTTTAAAAGTCCAATTTCTTTACAGTAATATAAGCTTGAATTGCATGTACTAAAGCAGAAAGTAGGACAGGAAATCAGTATCTCCAAAGAAACTTTGCCTATCTATGTTCCAAGACAAAGGCCTTTGAGATTGAATCTCACTACTCTGAACTTTCGATGGCTGTTGACAGGTCAGTAGTTCCCAGGGTCCTCCTTTCCACCTTTTCTAAAAAGGACTGCAATGTTTCCCTTTTTCCGGTCACCAGGGACTTCACCTGACTGCCACGGCTTTTCACATATCATGGAGAGTGGCTTGGCAACTACATCAGCCAATTCCCTCAGGACTCTGGGATGCATCTCATCAGGTCCCACAGAATTATGGATGTTCAGGTTTCTCAGGTGGTTCCTACCCTGACCTCTTACAGTGGGAGGAACTTCGTGCTTGTTTCTTCCAATGTCACTTCCTATAACTGGAAGGGCAGAAGAAAAAATAACCTGTGCTCCAGATTCCCTTCCCGATCATCCTAAGGCCCTTAGGTCTCTTTCAATTGCCCCTGGACCATGCACTGCAGCTGTATCACCACCAACATGGAAGAGCACTAATGGGTAACAGCTCAAGAGCCATACAGGCTAGAAAGTTTCCTAGTGATGTCCTTAACCCAGGACCCACAGAGGCAGCAAACTTACCGAAGCAGAGGGTCTGTCTGGCATATGGGACCCTCTGTTCCCCTCAAAAGGGGAAAAAAAAAAAAAAACAACCCAAAACCCAAACATACAACAACCACTGCCCTAAAAAAAAACCACAACAAAACCAATATTTTTCTGCAACTGGGAAAAAGTTGGTACAAAAATAAGAGGCAGATTAGTCTCAATATGAAAAACATTAATTTCACACCAGGCTCAGATTAAATAAACCTGTGTCAAGACACTTGTTTCCCCCTGATACAGGAGACTTGGCCTAGGTTTGGCTCTCAGAATCATCACATAGAAGATTTTAAAAAGCAACGCATTAACATGGATGAATACCTGAGGATAAAACAGTTCTGAATCCACAGTGCATGTATTAAATGCTGCTAGAGAGTTTTACCTGAAAGATCCTCCCTGGTATTCTTCTGGTAACAGTTTTCCATCTCTTGCTTTCTTTGCTAAAGCCTAAGGAAAATGGAAGAAGTAAAAGAACAGGAGAGATGAAAAAAATTAAAGTGTTGTAATAGACTAATTCTTTTTATTTCAGTAACGTATTATTATGGCCATACAGCCATTAAAAAGTCATCTGCTTTCGGATTTAGGGAAGTAACACTGTTGTACTGCAATGACTCTGCAAAGAGAAAGTTTCATTTTCCCAACAATATTGGCTGTTCAATAAATGCTGTTCTTTCACCTTGAAAACCTTGTTCCAGTTTTTACAATGGAACCATCATTCTCCCTGGTGTTTTTAGGTTACAAAAATTTTTAGCAAAATACCGATGAGACAAATTCACAGTATTCTAAACATATCTGTTTAAACAAACTGCCATGTACCACTTCAGAACTTTCTAGCAGCAGATTGAGAAAATGCATTTTGTCCAGCTACGCATTCAACTACCTGAAGGACCACCCTGTAACCTCCATTTTATTTGTGATACTTTTCTACTTCCAAATATAACAGGTGAAACTGTCCACATAGGTTTTGTTCAAAATACAGTCCAAGAAATTCAAGCTATATTCCAAGGCAAGATCACAGAGAAAAAGAGTCTTATTCCCATCTAGGATTTTTCTAGCTCAGAGATCTCCTTAGATGGAACAGTGGGATTCAAGATGAATAATTCTTACAGTAGGAAGAAAGGACTGTGTGGACCTCAAGAGGAATGGCACTCCTTGGGGGATCAAGAGCCAATTATTCAGCCACCAATCCGTTCATCACACCCAACCATGAGTACCCAACTGAAAAGGTAGTGACTGTCAATGTGTCAGATGACTTCTCCATTAGTAGCAACCTTTTCAAAATCAGGAACTCTTCAACTGACAGCAGACACTGAAATGGGAATATATGCATGAGAGGTGAACTGCCCTGTTCATACAGAACATATTCAGTGGTTTTGGCTTGTCTCGTATTTATTCTGCAAGTGGAAAAGCATCTGGAAAATGTCACGTTGTGACAAGTGCAACATTATGACGTTTTAAGATAAAAATAACTGTTTCCAAAAGCATACTCAGGGAAGTAAGACTCAGATTTGCTCTGGGAAAAATGATAGAAGCAACACAGTCTGTTTACATTTTCCTTCTTCTGGTAAAAAAAGTAAAACTAGTAAGTTTCCAATGATTTCCTTATGTTAGGGCAATGCTGGTGGAAGTGAACAAAAACTCAAAAGATCTACTTTATCACAACATGAAAAAAGTGATATCATCACATTTGTGAAACTCTTGGAGCTAATTATTCCATGAATCCCCCTGGAATTTTCCACTCCCTTTTTTAGGAATTTTACCACTGCTTTCTAGGATTTTCCCAGGTTCTTTCTAAGAATTGACTTTTTTTTGCGTTTTAATTCCTAGATTGCTTTCCAGGAGTTGCCCATTCTGCTTCCAAGTGATTTTCTACATGTGCTCTATAAATATCCCATCTACCAGTCAATTCTATCTACCAAGAGGCAATTGCTATGAAACCTCACCCCTGCCTTTAAGGACCAGAGACAGTAAGTGGAAACTATGACTGAATTGACTTCTTTTTGTCTGCATGTGGGTGGAGGTAGAGTCATTACAAGATAAAGTACCTCACAGATAATAATAGTGGCTCATTAGCTATAGCTGTGACATGGATTAATCCCATTTCATGTTGTAGTATACCTCTCCTGCTCATGGTAAATAACTGTCTTCCAGTATACTTTTCTAAACTACTTTCAGGCAAGAGTTCTGAAAGACCACAGCAGCTTGGAAATAAACACCAAGAAGTTTAAGAGAATCTCATTCTAATTAACTGCCAACTAAACAATAAGCTTATACCAAACTTTATAAAACCTGTGAACTTAAATTATGGTGATGAATTTAAAAGTTAAAAGCATACCCTGAATTTTATTTCAGGCTTTTATCCATCTCTGAATAAGTAGTGAACTAGAAGACAAAAGCCATGGGAACAACATTCCCACAACAGGATCAATATGAGCATAATGCATATGCGCAATTGCATTATTTGAATGATGAAAATATGGTGCTAGGATGCACATGACCTGGAAAGTAGTTAAAACTAACATGTAGTAGAAGGAGACATATAAGAAGTCTACACAAAGAAAGTGCCTGCCAAACTACAGAGAGACTGGTAGAGAAGCAGCTGCACTTTCAATTTGTGCCTTTCACATGTGCACATCAGGTACATATTTGTTTCGGTAATTCAGTGAACAAGCTGAAAAGCAAACTTATGCTGATATGGACACCTACAATCTATGTGACCCAATGACCTTCATATTGAGCAGTGTGCCCCGTCACACACATTCCATTTGAAATAAAAGGAGAATGCTTACTTTATTGAGGCCCTATTAAACATAATGCAAGTGTACATGCCTATCACGGGAATGGCAGAACGCTGTAATTTATGGTAAAGAAAGGTCTGCAATACTGCATCCCAGTATCACAGCTATTGGGGATGATAATGGACTTCCCATATGTGATATATTTCACTTCCCATAATATTTTTCTTCTTGTTATTCTATGACTAATCACTGAATAATGTAATAATCTCAGCTAACCACCTTCTTTGTCTGGCTGTTATATTAGCGAAAGGATTTGCTTTCACAACACATTCAACATGAAGCAAGCGATATGGACTGGAAAGATCTTAAAAACATACAATTATGAATGCTTTGCAGCATGATACACCTTCTTCTGCTACAACTTTGTTGGTTGCTCCCCTTTGCCAACACAGACTATCGTGATTTCTGTAGTTTTTGGTAAAAGACAAAAATCTGCAAAGTGCAGTGAGGGCCCAGTTTTGGAACACTTTTATACCTTAGCATCTACTTCCACTGCATTCCTCAGATACTGCAGGCCTTTGATTAGCACTCACTAAATCACAAAAAAAAAAAAGAAAAGAAAAAGCTGGTGTTGGGGCATTTCATCATTTGCCTGCACAGGATACATCTGTGGCTGGCAACAACTGCCACAGATCCAAGACACTCTAACTGGCACCTGGCCTATGCAAAATGCTGCTCATTAGTCTGAGGAGTTTGGTATTCATCAGGTGATGTTCTCAACTGAACTGCATATTGAAAAAGTGCAGACAGAAATAAGTGCCATAACGTAACTGCACAGAAGGTAACATAAGCAGCTACAAGCAAATTTCTGGGAAATCTGGGGAAACCCCCCCCCCCAAATAAACCAAATCCCAAACCCAAATACCAGTAATACTAAAGAAATTAACATCCAGTTTTCTCATGAAGAGTAAAGAAATACAATTATATTAACTTGCAGAAGTCTGTACAGGTTTATTTTTCAGCTTAGTCAGCATCCAAATAAATAACATGATGGCTAAGTTATTGTTCATTAAAAATGAAAAGACTTGCAAAATTAATAATAATTTTGAAGCATAAGGAACGTTGAAACTGCTTTACATCCACTCTGCCTTTGTTCTTACGGAAGTGTATCTAGGTCATGCTACATTTTCTGCCACAGAAAACTCTACAGCTACTATATTCCTCAGCATACAGTACATTTAAGACCTACCTTTGCAGAGGCAGCAATTTCCTTTATTCCTTTGGCAGCAGCATCTTTTATGATTGGTGTAATGAGACCTCGGTCCGTTGCTACAGCAATAGATATGTCAATGGAATGAAGCTGCCTGCAGACTTCTCCATCCCAGGTTGAGTTCACATCTGGCATTTGCTGGAAGAGAGACAATAAAAAAAGACAGCTGTTAAAAAAATTGCAGTGCAACCAATTCTCAAGAAAAAAGGAAAATCCTTTAAGACACACAGTTACACACAGGCATTTACCAAATTACTTAGTGCATCACGGACTACTGTCTGTAAATGAAGGCAAAGAAGAGGTCACATCTGTCATCAGGACTGCTACAAGCAAGACAAAAAATAAATCCCTGTGAGGGTCTAAGAGTAGCTGCACATGATTAGCTTGCAGTAATAATATTTAAACTTATTCTGTCAAAAAGCATGAATGTATGCTCCAGAAACTGAAAACAGCAGGGCAGACAAGGTTTTTTGGTGCTGCTGGAAAAAATTAACAAAAGCCGACAAAATCCTTTAGGAGTCACCAATACCACCTCACAGATGCCCAGCATACAAAGCTACAAAGCAGTGCCATTTCTCCCCCCCAAAATAAATCACAGGATATTGACTTAAAAAGCAGACACTCTACTACACTCATGTGTTTCTATTTCCACTCATGTCTCAAACAGGACTCTTAACAAAGGAAGCTACAAATAGGATATGTTCCAGGTACACTCACTGTTATTCAGATAATGTTAGAACGCATCGCATTTTTGTGTGTGTGTGGATACAAACAAGGGCACATAGTGACAGGACAAGGGGGAATGGCTTTAACCTGACATTTAGAGGAGACATTTAGGCTAGACACTAGGAAGAAGTTCTTCCCTGTGAGGGTGGTGAGGCACTGGCACAGGTTGCCCAGAGAAGCTGTGGCTGCCCCATCCCTGGCAGTTTTCAAGGCCAGGTTGAACAGGGCTTGTAACAACCTGGTCTAGTGGAAGGTGTCCCCCCCTGCCCATGACAGGAGGGTTGGAACTAATGACTTTCTTCCTAGTTCCATGAATCTACAATTTCTCTATATAAACTAACTCAGCTCCTAGAAGCAGCAGAGTAATGGTACTCTAAGTTCCTATTATAGAATCATAGAATGGTTTGGAAAGGGCTTCAAAGCTCATCTAGTTCCAACCCCCTCCCATGGGCATGGACACCTCAACCTAGACCATATTGCCCAAGGCTTTGTCCAACCCGGCCTTCCAACTATTCTTCAATGCCAGAATGTATATTTTGGGAAAAAAAAAAAAAACCACAAACAAAAAAACCCCACAACCAACACCCCCCCCCCCCCCCCCCCCCCCACAAAAAAAAAAAAAAAAAAAAGAATGGGCAGTACTCCTCTTTGAAAGTTAAATATAAAGTTTAGGAAAGCCTCACAGTACACAGTTGTAAGATGCCTTCAAGTGGGTGTTGTGCAAGTTTGACTCTCTCTATAAGTTATCCAAAAGATATGGTAAGGACAAGGAATTTTTCCTATTAATTTCATTCAAATAATCTCAATTTTGATGTAAATCAGACAGTATTATTTCTCCCATCATTTCAGCAATGAAAGACTGTTTATTTTTAAAGGACAGCTGCTGTAGTGGCTGTCATTACTAAGCCCAACAACTCACTTATGGCCGTAAGCCTGGAATCTTTCATTCCCCTCCCCTCTTGTTCTAGAAAGCCAGAACTGTTCTAATAGGCTATCACCTGGTGAGCCCACTGGTACATTCACAAGCCTCTGGCTATCAAATAGTGAGAGCAAGCTGAAAGCTAGAATTCATAATTGGACTAGGGGTCCTAAGAATTGTGGAGGAGAAATTTTATATGTTAAAGAACCAATACAAACAGCATCTTGAGGTGTTTGCCAACCAATCACAAACTGTCAAACCAGTCACTACCAACTCATTAAACCTAGAAGAACATGTCTTGCATTGTTTAGGAAGAAAATATTAACAACATAAGATTTGAACATTGCCCAGAAAAGAGTCAATAAAACTGCCTTGTATTTAAACTTCCAAATGTATTCATACCACTAAATTTTGGGAGGGGAGGAGCAGGTGGAGGTAGATTTTCTTTTTTAAACTAGTAGGCCACATATTTTCCGGAAACACTGACAGGAAGTAGTTGAGACATCAGCTTGATCATTAACTTATTTCCTGGTATACTGAGTTAAATCTGTTTGGGTTGTTTGTTTGTCATTTGGTTTGGGGTTCTTTTACTATTTTAAAAGTCAAACATATGCTAGCATAGATTTGTAACAAAAGCAACAGGATAGGACAGAGTAGTTTAATGATTACTTCCATACAAACACAGTATTCGTGTTCCATTAAAAAACCCAACCAAACAAAAATCCCTGAAAGCAAAACACCTAAATTTCTTCTAACTCAACAAACAAGAATTCCAGCTTCTCAGAATCTGACTTGGGAATCAATTCATGTATAACCAAAGATGAACTGATTTTACAAAGCTGTATGCACTAAAATTTACTAGGCTTGTCTACTGAATTTCCTTTAAAACTGACATGGTATAGATGACTTTTTGAAAAGTTTTCAGCACAGAACTAGCTAATCCTTAAATTCAGGATTCAAATTCTGTACTATGTCAATAGAAAATACTAGGAAAAATGATACAAATCTAATCACAGAATAAATATTTTTATTTGTATATCAGAAAGATAAGACATACTTACAGAATTCACCGGTTAGGTCATTTTGTGACGGCAGATAAGGAAATCTTGTTTTAAATACTAGCAGTGTTCAACATTCATAATCCCCATGTATGCTCAAAGTACAGTAAAGCAGCCTTACAGTTAAATGGACTGGAAGCTACTCACCTTTTGTTTCAGGCAGCAAATTAAACAAAACCACAAACAACGACCAAATACCCTTTAATTATATAAGAAGAAGTAATAACAAGTACATCTAAAGCTTGTATCCTGTAAGCTGGATTACATCCCATTATCTTCCTTTACCTGACTTTATTTATGTATAACAGAAAAAACACAAAACTTAATCTTTCATTCCTATTTCCCTCTGTCTCATGTTCCTTCCACCTGCTCTGTAGTGCAGAGATTTGTGATCCCATCCTAACAGCTAGCAGTTGACAGGAATTTTTGGTTGTCACCATTTCATCACATAAAGTCTCATTAGGCCACAAAAAAGTTTCTTGCTGTGTTCACATCTAACAAATGCATAGCCAGTTTAGCTCCTCCTGTTTCTGTAGAGAATAACTTGTGAAGTTTTTTCCAGTCTCTACAAAGCCCAGAATTTCTCTCAAACATTTGCTATGGAACCGCCTAGAATCCTGTCTATTTTCTATCAAAGTATGTATTTCTAGCAATTACATATTAATATTTAGATTATATTTGCCTAGAAATTTTGGGGGTCCATTCCAGTGCAACGTTTAATTAATTCCATACATCCATGGTAATAATCCCCCAACTGAAATGTAACTTCCTCCTTTAGCTTTTGCATATTTAAAATAATCTTCTCAAATAAGAAAAACGGGCCTCACTCCCTTTCTGATGGTTTTATATCATGACATCATGCAACTAGTCTGCATCTTTGTTCTGTGTTATCTTGTCTGTTTGTAGCTGCCCCTCAAATAATGCAATAGTAACAGAAAAGTTTATCATTTTCCATAGAGCTAGAAAGTGTGATCACTGTGCAATCAAGAAGGCATAAGCAATAAATCCATGGCACTACCAAACTGCTTCAAAATCTGCATTCATTCACACAGAAGTGATGACAAGGGAAACTCCATAGGATATTTTAACAGTCAAGCCTGTGTCCCTTTAATTATCTTTCTACACGACAAGGATCTTTTGCAGCTGCTAGTGATCACTCTAAGACACTTATTTCCTCCTGAATCTTAAAAATACTGGCCTTCAGGCTGCTCAGAGCTCCCACCTATAGCTTATTCAAAAAGTAAGTGCAAACTGAATTTAAATCAAAGCCACTCCACATCTAAACCAAAACCACCACAGTTCTTTCTTTTAAGAAGTTTGAAAATAAAATTAATTTCACACACTGTTTTCCAAGTAATTATATTTGAGACACTCTGGACTAAGAGGAGAAATTTCCAAAGCATGGGAGTATTCTTAAAGAAGGATCTCTAAAGCCTTTCAGTTTTAAAATCTTAAGTAACACTGAGAGGGTATTCCAAGCAGAGCCATCAACACAAATTGGGAAGTAATGTAACCAGCTCTACCCAGAGAACATGCAAATAGACAGTAAAACCTCTATAGTTTGGGATGGAGTAAGTAGACCCTTATGAAATTTAAGATCTTAACTTCAGGATGTATTGCAATCATTTAACTTTAATATTGACAAATGGAACAGTGGCAATCCTGAATGAGCAGAAGATGGGTTACCTGAAGAATTTTTAATTCAAGGAACTTACTGAATGTGCCAACAGTATACAACTGAGGTAATACACAAGACTGCTGTAAGACTTGGATAAAAATTTGTTCGTAACTGTAAGCGAAAATAAAATGCAGCAGCAAAGAACAGAAAACTCATCCTGCCAACTGCTTTAGTCTGCTGACAAAGCGTTTGCCATTATCTGTAGTAAGTGGATCTTTACTAAGAAGTTCTCATTTTTATGGCATTGACAGTGTAGCAATTTTACCTGGAGAGCTTCAAAAAATGTGATGATAACTGATAAAGAATTATAAGCTTTGCTATGATCATATTCGTATCTCCATGTTGGCTCACAAAATACTTTTCCTTGTCAGTTTGCTTTTTTTTAAAGTCAATTATTCACTTACCTTCAGAGTGACTGCAGTTGCTTTGATAATAAAATCATTTACAGATACTTTAATGTCATCTGCAAAAAGAAGAAAAAAAAAAAAAAAGACGATCATTTGTGTGAAGAAAAGACAAACCACAACAATAAAAGCAAGAAAACTTCTCTCCTTTGGGACAAAAGGAGTATCACCAAGGAAGTCTCCTGAGCAGAGACTAGCTGTAACTAGAAGGTCAAAAGAGGTGCAAACTTGAGTATTATTACTCATTCTTATAAGTAGCAGTCCATACATGTTTTATGCTTTACATATTTACTACCTACGTAGAAATCTATTGTAGGATCTAAATATATAGAGACAATACTGGAGACTACTATTCTTTATGTAGTATGATGCATTAACTGGAATAATTGCAGAGATCAGCTTTCATTCAGCTGCAAGTCAGAAGAATGTCACTGTCCAGTGACACGGAGCCTTATAACATAAGAATTAGCAAGGTGAAGGCATCTGTCAATCCTTAAAATGGGTTAACAATATACTCTAGAGCAGGCTGCAAAACAATACAAGTGGTAAATTTGTTAAATTACAAGCAGAGCTACACACTAAAAAGGCAGCATCAGCCAGAAACAGGTAAAGTAACCTTGAGAGGACTGGTGGTTTTTTTATGTGACCCTAAGAAATACTGCGTAACACTTCAGACACCTGCTTGCTTTCTCCAAAAGCTTGTAAGAGAGGAAGGACAGAAACAATGGCTATATTTGCTTTGCATTATTTTATTCCAAGTTTTGGGACTAACTCTAGCACTAACTAAAATCACACCATCAGCAGAAGGGAAGACTATAGATACAACACAGAATATGCCACAGTTGCTATAAGATTATCCTGAAGAGACACGATATTTGCACGGTATCAAATGTATCATCTCACAATAAAAGTGCTACATTACTCTGCTACCATCATCACTGCTGTCAGCTGAACAGACCAAGTACTACAGATACTTAATTTTTGAGTCTGATTTATGGAATGTAATACCCATACCTTTCAAAATGATTTTGTAGAGGGAAATTAGAGATCATTAAGTGAAATCATCTTAAGTGAACATCAATTTGGAGGAATGAACCAAGCACCCACTTACCACATAACTGACCTGCAATCTATACCCGAGAGCCCCAGAATTCAAATGTAACATAATGGAACTTGCAAGCACTATTCTATGACAGAATTTCACATCAGACAAACCTGCATCTTGGTCATCAAATATATCTTGGTTTTTCATATGATTTCTGTATTACATTTCTTACCCTTGGCAAAAATGTCACATTCCACTAGGGGGGCACCAATATAGTGCAAATACAGGAGTACAGTTAAATGAAATATGTCTGATAATATTTTACCTTCATTGATATTTACAGTAATGAAAACTACTGTATTTTACCCCCAAAATAAAGCAGGTTACAGTAGGGAATGCTGCATTAAAATTTCCACATTACTCCTCATCACACAGTCAAAAACACCATCAATTTTATCAGAAAAAATATCACTAACCTCAGACACTAAAAATAATTATTATTCTTTTTGAAGGTATTCCACATTTTAGAGAAATTTAAGACCGGAATAATCACTTACAGATATTACAGTCAACCATACTACATGATCTCGACCAATTTATCAAGTAAATTGACCAAATATTTCTAAATATAATAAAATTTAAATTAAAAAGATTATAATGTTAAAGTAATAAAAGCTTTCACTCAGGTTCTTTACCCAACTAAGTTCTTAAAAAAAGAACACTAAGCAAACAACACTTTTGTGATATTTTGCATGAAAATGGAAGTGTCTGTCTGAAAAATGTTTCATTAAAAAAAAACACTCTATTTTTTAAATGCATGTCATATACATTTTGTTGAATTGAGAGTTTGGAAAGAAGATTCTAACCTGCAGAGTTAATTTTTAAATTACTAAGCATCCTATTGCAAAATACACTGAGCTGATTTTAGCAAAATCAAAAACAGTTTTAGCAAAAATAATCTTTGCTTATGACCTTAAAGAACTTTTTCTAAATAAGTCACTTCTGTGAATACAAGTTGAGACAAAATGGCAAAATCTAATTTCTTAGTCTTATGCATAAACATTTCTGTATCAATAAGACATGGCAGAAAGAAAAATTGGGATTTACACATAAATATTGATATTTACACATTAATTTTGAGATCTAAAGCTTTTAAGGCAATTCTCAATGTATATTTTAAAATTATTCACTTTTCTGTGGGACAGTTTTCCATTCCACCTCTGTCTTCCTGTATCTTGCTAAGCTGTACAACTCAATAATCACAGGGAAGTACCGCTTGAGTCCAATGTACAGAAAATTTAAAAGGGTTCTTTGAATGCATAGTGTTCTGCCTATACAAAAATCTACACCTTCTGAGCAAGATTAAAGATACAAGGCAAACTATGTGTTAGTACCACATGTTATAGTAAATCAGTTTAATCACTAACCTTTGGCCAATTCTTTTCTTAATCTCAAAATAGCATCAATGTCACAGTCGGCAGCAGCATAGGCATGAGGTATTGTAGTCTTAGACTCTGTTAATCTCTTAGCAATAACTCTTCGGATGTTGCTAGCAGGGATTTCCGTGAATGTGCCCTGAAAGAAATTATATGTTGCGCATTAAATATTGAGAGAGCAAGCATGCATCCCCTTTGCTGAAACAGGCCTCAACACTGATGCGTTATCATCAGTGACTACTGCTCACTTTAAAAATCCCCTAGATATCCAAAAGCAATACATTCCAACTACTGCAATTAATATGATTAAGACCATTGAGTGTTCTAGACTTCTACACTGCACTGTTCCGTCTGCCAGACCTGGCATATCGCTCACAATACGTTCTGCTCCATTTAAACTTTAATAGAGTGTTTTCTCAGTAAGCTACTGCTTTTTTCAGTGGTTCCTTAGGACAGGCTTTACTGCTTATCATTTTCATTATTCTCCTCTCTCCTTCCAGATATATATACAGTAGTGTTTCAATGTAGTTCTCCCAACATGTTCACAGAAGCAAGTCAACTTTTAAAAAATCTCTTGAAATACAAGTGACTAGAGAAAGCAAAAAAATACATGATTTTGCAAAACATTATTTTGTACACCTCATCTATAGCATGTATGCTACAATCTGAGTAGTAGTCAACACAATAAATTACAATACGGATATTCTGGTGCAATCACAAAACCATTTTTTTCTGTAATGGAAAAATATCTAAGTTTGAGCTTTACGTACTTTGTTCAGTTCCTGTACAAGGCAAAAAAAAAAAAAAAAAAGGTATTTTTTTAATATTATGAAGTGTAGCTACATTGTAAACTTCAACCTGTAAAGATACTTCAAATTTAGTTCTAGACCCAGAAATGTTTTTCCCTCCATTTTTCACAAAAGCTTTTCAATTGCTCCTAATGTGGATTTAAGCACAGGCAATTACTCTAACATTTTAAATTAACACAGGAACTGTATTTAGGTGCTAGAGTTTGCAAAATTACTCTACAAAGCAAACATTAGGACCTTTCCCTTCTCGCTTCCAGAAAACTCTGTGGACATTTACCTATACTTACATTGCAGGAAAGGAAAGGAAATGAAGTAAAGAAACTCAAAGCCTGATTTATTTTTACTGTGAGTTTGGAAATAGATACTGATATACTGATCCTGCAGGGAAAGGATGTATTCTTGATTTCCTACCTAGTGGCATCTTTGTTTGGGGACTGAAATAAAAGTGTTGCCTCTCTGACCTCCCCCTTCCCCAGGCCTCCAATGTAAGTTTTTCATGGCTTTGATTTTGCAAATTACACAAAGTGGTGTGCAGACCAAAATTTTGAGAGCTCTGCAGTTTGAATTATACTGCTTTAGACTGAATCAAACATACTCAGACCACACATGTCTGGGCTTGGCATCTGGGTGGCCTTAGTTTCCCTAGTCTTTCCAGTTCTGGAAATCTCATAAAGCTACTGAAGTAGCCACAGCAATACATAGCAATAACAATGTTAAGAACCTAACAGAACCCTTACCGGTGCAGCAGGTTGTCCTGGTATTGAAAGTGGTGGAACTGCTGGCCTTGGGTAAGCTGGAGGCACAGCTGTTGCTTGTGAAGGCACTGCAGTAGGCTGGGGAGGAGCTGGAGAAACCACAGGTTTCAATTCAGTGGGTTTGCCCTTCTGCTTCTCTTGCAGAAGTTTGAGAGCATCCCTGGTGATTAAACAGTGAAATACTGACAACAGAGAAACTATTCCAAAAATTCTCAAAGTATTACTAAACCATCACTTATTTTAATTAGTTAGCCACTTCTGTCTGGCTTTTTTTAACCAATTTAACCAATTTTAACCAATCCCACTTATGTGCATTTAAATTTCTGTAGTCAAACCAAACATTAAAAACATGATCATTAATTGACATTAACCTTGTTTTCTCTTCTGTGATGTCTTTTCAGTAAATCTCAATAACTTTTGTGAATAAAAGGGCTTCAATATGCAGTAACTGAAAACATTTGTGTTGGAGAAGTGTAACATTCATCATCATTAATTGCCCTAATGATTCTTCTAAAGATACCAGAGTACCCTTACTCAGGCTATAAGGTCTCAAATAATGGCTATTTAATCTGTTACCATAGAATCCTAGAATGGTTTGGGTTGGAAGGGACCTTAAAGCTCATCCAGTCCCAGTCTCCTGCCACTGGCAGGGACAACTTCCACTAAACCAGGTTGCTCAAAGCCATGTCCAACCTGGCCTTGAACACTGCCAGGGATGGGGCAGCCACAGCTTCTCTGGGCAACCTGAGCCACTGGCTCATCACCCTCACAGAGAAGAATTTTTCTCTGTACCCTTCTAACAAAGATGTACAAAAGGTGTAAATAGCATAAACGTCCATACTTCATAAGCAATTTGAAAGACAGCACCACCATAATAAATCAAAAACTGAGTAACATCTAACAGACCCCTGTGTGACTGAGCCTTGTCTAACCTAGACCCCTCTCAGGCTCTTTATATTGATATAGCTACCACCACAAGACTTCCCTCTTGGGGGCACAGTATAACAGACATAAGTAAACTCCCATCTTTAAGCTGTAACACTACATCCAGCCCAGGTGCACAGTATTTATAAGTCAACATGCTAAAGATTAGCACCTACAAGGCTAAAGAGAAGACTGCAATTACACCCCCTTCACCAGATTTCAAGGGAAATAAGCTATAGTAAAATTTCAGTTTTGCAGTTTTAACTGCATCTATACTAGTGATTTGTTAGAAGAGCTGTATCGGTCAGATCACCACTCTACTCTAGTTCTCGTAACAAGCCTGTATCATACACCCAAGATAAAGAAAAGCTCACCACGACCCTGCAGTGTGTGTTTGCTGACCAGAAACCATGTGCTGCACTGCATCACCAGCAGTGTGACCAGGAGGTTGAGGTTTCTCCTCTGCTCTGGTGAGACCTCACCTGAACTACCACATTCAGCTCTGGGACCCCCAACACAAGAGGGTACATGGAGCTGTTGGACCAAGTCCAAAGGAGACCTTGAAGATGCTCCAAGGGCTGGAGCACCTCTGCAGTGGAGGCAGGCTGAGAGAGCTGGGCTTGTTCAGCCTGGAGAAGAGAAGGCTCCAGGGACACCTAGGAGCAGCTTCCAGTGCTTAAAGGGGTCAAAAAGAAATCTGGAGAACGGCGTTTGACAAGGACAGGTAGTGACAGGACAAGGGGAAATGGCTTTAAACTGACAGAGGGGAGATTTAGATTAGATATTAGGATGAAATTCTTCTCAGGGTGCTGAGGAAAATGACATTTCAAAGTCATATCTTTGCATGGAAAAAAGCAGTTTTGCAGAAAGATTTTGTTAGATAATTCTATAGCTACTGAAAAATCTTTGCTACATTTCCATGACAACTAGGGAATGGTAATGAAGTAGCTCAAAGTCCTAGAGGGTTTACACCTGCCATAGCCTAGTAACACACCATAAACTACCACTATACTTACATAATTAAGAGTAAAATTCTTTTAATTCGATGTTACATAGGGTATTTTATCTATTCAACTCCTGATTTTACCTCAACTCAGCCAAAGACCATAGAAAATGGTAAAAAAAAAAAAAAAGTCTGCTTTTCTCTAAAAAAAGCAGGCATCTACTGTCTGCTTCCCTGGATTCAATTCCAAGTTATGCTGACCTGGTTGTCTTTGAACAGAACTAAAATTACAACAGCTAACAAGGTCTGTGTAGGCGAATGATGATATTTATCAAAAGGAATAATTTTACTGAGAACAAAAATAATATTCCTGCCAAAATCTTCACCTCCAATAGCATAATGTGAAGGTAATGCACCGTTTTTATACTAAGGGGTCCAGACCTACCACAACACATTTTTATACACGTTTGTCACTCCAAGGGTTGAGTGCCAATCTTTACATCAGAATAGTCAAAAGCTGTACTAAACTACTAGAAGCCTGATCATAACAAACCACAGGTTTGTATACAAAAGCCCTTTAAATCAAAGATGGGAAAAAAAAACCCAAAGATAGGAGAAAAAACAGCTCAGGATTTCTTACCATCACACTTTAATGCTCTCCCCAGACTAATAAAAAAGGGAACAAGTTAAAACCTGACAGACTTCATAACTGAACTACAGTGAAAGAAGATCTGAACCCCCCAAAGAAAAGGAGGCGAAGAAAATATGACACTGGCATTTTACATTAGCTCTGAATACATCTCTGAGTAGCAAAATCTGTGAGATCCACAATGGCAACTAATGATACCTAGGAGTTGATAACCATCATTAGCCTGAGCTGGAAGAAATATAAAGCAGTACCATGTAGCTCAGACAGGATATAAAACCAAAAAGAGATGGGTTTTATTTTTAATCAAAGGCTTTGGACAATAGTTCCTAACCTATTCTCCACATTCTCAACAGGCCTTTCAAATGTAAATAAGCCATTTCCCTTTAGAAAAAAATGGAACAAAATGTTGGCTTTTTCAATAAATGGACATTTCAAGTTCATGGAGATCGGTCTAGGTTCAAAGGAAGAAATAAGGGAATATGAGGTTGAAACATTACTGAAATATCTACATACTCTTTAGTGAAGATTCCTCGAGGCCCAGTAGGTGTAAGATTGGTTGTATCTAGTCCATGCGTCTCCAAAATGATGCGAGCTGCAGGACTTAGGCGTACCCTAAAGAAACGAGGACAAAAAAAGTACACTATTTAAACAATAAGATTAATTTAGTTAGTTTAACGTGTATCAGGAGAAACTACAAAATATGCCCTCTATTTCAGAAGGAACAGCCAGGGAAGGAGTTCTGTACCAAGGCTGCAAACTTTCCTCTTATAGCAGTGATGCAATATTCTGGTGGATTCTTCTGGAAAAGGGTCATCAGTGAAAAACCAAACATATTTTAAGACAAACTTGTTTTAGTAATATTAAAAAATGCATTTTAGGAGCTCAGACAAGAGTGTTGCTCACCTCTTATTTGTTTGGCTAGCTGTAATTGCATCATTAATGCAGCTTAGTTCTAATTATTACATTACTTTTGCCCTAGAATTAATTTTATTTTGTAGCATTGATGAAATAGCTACCTTTTTGGAAAGCAAAAGCCACACATATGTAGTTGCATAATTCAGTGTCTGCTTTAGAAGACTAAATATCAAGCCTTCCCACACGCATACATTTTAATCAGCATATACTTGAATTATGCTACAGTACTAGTAAACCTGTATCTGCCATCTTGACCTACATCAGTCAACAATTAAACTTCTGACTGGAAACAGAAACAGTGATCAACTACAAAGAACAGGACATCACTACAGAGTGCACTCTGCACCTCAGCACGATTTGCTCTCTGAAATGAGGGGAAAACAAACAAACATTTCAAAAAGAGATTTCAGAATTCTTAAATATAAATGCAGCAACATTTTCATAAAAGTACTAATACTTAGTTTCAAGACTTTCCACAAAATCTCAAACTCATTATTTCCTAAAGGAGAGCATATTTGCACCACACTGAGTTTTAAGAACTGTCCATAAGCAGATGCCAGAAAAAAAATGTCTTAAATGATCAACTGATTCCAAAGATTCTGATACACTTCTAATTAACAGCTGCAGTGAAACAGAGGCACTTCCAATGTTCTTTCACGCTAAAATGCAAAACACAGTCATTTAAAGGATCCTTTCTGTGAATGATCCACCTACTACAGGTAACATTTTGGCAATGATAACCTCAATTAGTTGTCTTCCACTTGCATGAGAAGAGCCTAAATGATGACAACAAAACCAAACTTAACAAACCAGAGAGAAAAGGTAGTGAGGGTTGGAAGAAAAAACAAAAACGAAACCAAAAAACCCACCCACAAATGAAGATAAAAAAACCCAACCCCAAATAAAAAAACCCAAAAAGTTTGCATAGCACATGCTACCAACATTAGTTTTCTATTCTTTTCTTTCATAGGTTGTAACTTTACAGCTTTGGTTTTACACAACTGACTCCAAACAAGGAGCAACACCTTCAAATGAAGTGCATCCTGCAACCTAAACCAGTGATAGATTACTGTTACCTGACTAACACTTTGGAGTTAAATTACTCTCCCATTTGAGGCATTTGTAATGCTTCAGAGTACCATAACTAATCAAAACAAAACACAGAGCACAAAAATCCACAGGTTTGAGTTTTTTGCATTCCACTGCTATGAAAAGAAGAAAATTTTTCTGGTATCAAAAGTGCAAGAACTTGGAAGGGTTTTGGAGCGTGTCATTTGTTTGGGTTTTTTCCTGAAAAAGAAACAGAAAACAAGCTGTAGGTAAACTGAGAATCTGATGCATAAGCATTAATATCTGTTGTATATAAAGATAACTTCTTCCTAATTTAAGCTTAAGATCCTTCACAAAGCAATTGTATGTCAAAATAAAAACACATCCATAGAAGGTGCTCTAATAAAACAACATTGTTCAAATTGTCTTACCAGGCTTCCAAGCAGAGAAATATTCTGAGCAGGCAAGTGTTTTTACCTCACACATACTGAAACACTCTCTTAAACTAAAAGTTTAATAGTAGGTAGAAAGGGGCAAAGACTCTTCTTGGTTCAGCTCCACTGATCTAGGTAACAGTTACATTTTACAACAAACCTAAAAACTTACGGCAATTTTCCAGGTTGATGCTCTAGCTTAGGAGGGGCTGAAACTGAAGGACCTGCAAGACTTGAGGTAACTGCAGGTGCTGGTGGAGCCGGAGAAGATGGAGCACCACCATCAGCTGGTATTTCAACTTGCTTCCAGTCCTGCCCTTCCTCTACCAGCAGACCGATTACTGAGCCCAAGCGTACATTTTTGGTTCCTTCTTGCACCTAAATTTAAGGCAATAAGAATAGTGTTACATATTGTGCTGTCTAGACTAATATGACTAAAAATGGTAGATGGGAAAATTTCAGGCATATTAATGACACATCATCAAGGAAATAGAACACATTTTATTCCTACTATTAATAAGATGAGTCATGACTGAAATGAATTACAGTTGCTATTATAAGGTGAGGAATATTAATTTATGTCCCAGAATCCTATACATGGAAAGCCAGTAATCTGAAATCAAAGTAAGTTACAGACAACTGAGTACCTCCAAGAATAAAGTCACATTAGCTACTGAAAAAAAATGGGGGTGTCTAATCTTTGCAAACAGAGCCTGAAAATTTTGCTGGACACATTGAGCAGATGCACTTCAACATATCTCCCCTGTATCCAGCAGTGTGTTACTTCCTAAAATACACAGAATCTTGTAAATTTAGACACTAATGAAACAAAGAGACCAAAACCCCACAACAGCAGTGCCCCATTACTGTTTAAGAAGGTAACATTCCTTTTCCACCAACTTTCACCTCCAAGATTGTCTATTTTAACATAACTGATGCCAAGTAACAACTCTGTCCACCAAGAAAGTGATAGTGCTTAGGGTTGATATGTACACCACTAATCTCTTGATGCATTCTTCGTTAATACCCTGAAAAGCTCACTCTGCAGTGGAAGTTTTATACAAAACAGTTTCAGCTCATACAAATTCTCATTTAGGTCATGAATGATAAAATGGGTATTAACTCCAGATCTTCAACAAGCATTCATCATCTGGTTTTGGTCCAAATAGAAGAAAAAAAGTGTTAATTTAAGAAGCAACTCTACTGAAAGAATGATCACCATTATGAAATCACCCTTCTGATACTCTTAGCCATTTAATTTTTGTTGCATTTTACACTGAATTAGAAGTGATCATTAAAACACCTATTCAGACAGAAAAGAAATACAGACACAAGCATCTACTTTACTTTTAGCCTGCTCTTCCACCATATATACTTACATTATACAGTCAAGAAAATACACGAAAGGTTACAGAAGTTGAATTAATTTCATCTAATGAGCCTTGTATCTTTAGAGGTAAAAACCAAAATATTAGGCAGACTGTGTTTAACGTGAATCACTTTTCCATGCAGAACTCAGTCAAGATGGTACAGAATTGTAGACGGCATCAAAGAACATAAAATTTTTGCCTCGTTTCTTTTAGTAAGGGAGTGAACTTCAGACAGATGCTGGTAACTCAGATCAAACATTCTTAATTTCCCAACAACCTTGAAAGGACAGTCTTATCAATCAGAAATCATCTCCCCATCTCCCACAAAGCTGAGGCAGCCTCATGTTAAAAGCTGACACGACCATCCACTGAACACCCAACACAGTGCAGAAATACCCACAGGATACTGCAGAAACACTAAGGATCGCAACTGAGCTAGGAAGAAAAAAAAAAAAAAAAAAACCAAGCAGAAAAATATCTGATCTTACGGCTCTCCTATTATTTCAGTTTCCAAAACATCAGGTTTCGTCTGTACTTTTTAGGAGACTGTAATAAAAGCCTATTTGGGAATCTGTACTGTAATACTTGAGCCCACCATTTCTAGATTCCAAAAAAAAGGGCATTACTAGAATCACAGAATCCATTAAAGATTGCGATTGCACAATAATCTGTTAATGTTACTCCATTAAAGCTGCCTCTCTTTCCTTAATCTGAAAGACATTGTAGTTATTTTCCACATCCCAGCATCTCCTTCTCAGACTCAGCTCTTGGTATATGATTGTTATCAGATGATGTAGACATCTGTGTGTCACTGCTCCATGATACTGATACCATGTAATTGCTGGAGAGTCTGATTTTAATCTGTCAAAAACTGTGTCATGACAGCAATCCACACAAAGACATTTTGGAATTTGGAATGCATTTGGAATACATGGCAGGAAACAGGAAAAACACAGCTTCTGAAATATTAATGCTACTTAGAGTGTGAAATCCTATTTAAGGTTATCCATGTTTATGTACCTGATTTCTAAAAGAAAAAAAAAAAAAAAACAATAAAAAACCCAGTATTGCTGGAAGTGCTGGAGGCTAGTGAGAGTTCAAGCCTTCACAGGATACATTAAGGAACTCCACAAATTTGAATAGCGCTTAGGGAAAATCTTAGGGGGCAAAAAAAAAAAATACTGAAAGGAAGGGAAAATACTTTCTCTGTCCTTACACACAACTAATAACAACTTTCAATCCCTCCTTAAAGAAAATATACTCTAAAATACATTTCCGATTATACATATTTAATGGACAGGAAAAATACAGTCTCACTTAATTCTTAAGCATCAAACACAAGCCTGCAGAAAATGTAATATTTACTTTTTCACCGAAGCAGCAACAAAAGGAGTTTTAGTTTCCCCCTTCTAAATTCTAATCAGAATTAACATTGGGTCATTTTGAAATAAGAAACATCTTTTAAAAGTGTTACAAAAGAGGAGGAAAAGAAAGGACAAGACATAGAATTTTACTTGTGTTTTTAGAATACAATATATAAAGCATAGCAGAGGACTTGCAAGCAGACCTTAAGCAATGCAGCGTTAGAACTATGCCCTTCATCCTGATCCGTATATTCTGGTTGTTATTTCTTCCACCTTAGTACCGAAAACGATTTAAAGCCAAACATATACAAAAGCCCCCGAAAAAGCTACCATTATCTCTGTTGTATATGAACATACATACAGATACTCCAAAATGATGTTCAGAGAACATTCATACCACCTCTCCTTGTTTTAGTTAAGCCTAGTCAATATAATTTCAAGAATAAAGGAAATTAATAATCCTAAGAATCGTACTCTGGGTCAGCCCACCTTGTATAAAGTTTCATCATGAACAGCCAACGCAAGGTAATGTAGCACAGAGATCACACAGCCTGGGTGAAGTACCACCCAAAATTACATATTCCTACCTGATTGCAACTCATTTTTTCATAACTCTGAAAAAGATGTCATAAAATGCAACATTTCTAGACATAGCTAATAAGGTGTAAAATATAAAAAGCAACATAATTCAAACTGGGTCAGTTGAAAAAACAATCAATATATATAGAATCATGTACCATGTACCAGTAGTTTGGTACATGTACAAAATAAATACAGCAATTATTTCTCATTAAGGATGCAAATAAATACATAACTCTGAAAGCTGAGCAGCAGGAAACTGAGCTAAGTTTTGAGGCAATGCACTGAACGACAGGCTGAAGAGAAGTGATACTATCCTTATCAGACAGGAAGAACCCCTACCAGTATTTTAGCCAATATGCCATCTTCACTTGACTCCATGGTGACCACTGCTTTGTCTGTTTCAATTTCACACAAGGCATCTCCAGTACTCACTGTTTCACCTGCAAAACATAACAGAACTAATGAATACTTAGCCTAAACTTCTTTTTAGATATATTTAACCGTGGAAGATAGATACTTCTCCATAAAAGACAGCCATTTTACATTCTTTAACATATTCTATAGCTAATTTATGACCCATAATTATTTATCATATTGTATCTTTCACTTCCAACTAAAAACACAAAGATTCATGCTGCAGTAGAACATTAAGATGTTCCAAATACTGCTGTTCACAGTAGGTTTTCCAATAGATAGGACTGGAAAGACCACTTTGGCAGACCATATTTTTTGCTCTTCTGCTTTGTAATAAAAGAGCAGTATTTGCAACAGAAGTTGCCTGACCTGAATGCAACTCTCCAAGATTATATATAATGCACTTGAAAAGCCATGCTGGGTTTTGTGGGGTTTGGGTTTGGGGGAAGGAGGTTATTTGTTTTTGTGGTGTTTTATGCTGTTGGGTTGTTTGTTTTTTTTTTGTTGGTTGGTTAGTTTGGTTTTCTTTCTTCTAAATTATTCAGTTCTTACAGCTAGGCTGAACGATTAGGATCTCTGCTGAAGCTACGACTGCCTAGCTGCAGCTGCCCTGGAAGTGCTGAAGGCCAGGCTGGACAGGGCATGAAGCAACCCTGTCTAGTGGAAGGTGTCCTTGCCCATGGCTGGGGGTTGGAACTAGACGAGTTTTAAGGTGCCTTCCAACCCAAACCAGTATGGGATTCTCTGTTTAATTACTGACAGACCAGTATCCAAATCACATGATATAAACTTTGTTCTTTGCTGTACTCTGGAAATCAAATCAAAATTCACTAAGCAGAGAGACTTGAAGTCCCTGGAGGGGGTGTCTCAGAAGGCAGCAGAGTCACACTGCACTGCAGAGTTACTCCGGGAGTTACAGTGCAGGAAGCTGCTAGCACTGTTGCCCATTCTGTTTCCTGCCAACAATAACAAAAAGCATTTCAGTCTCTGGGCTGTCAGTCAAACATCTTTCATGAACGCTGCATTCATACATAATGAAAACAAGTTTTCAGAAATACAGTTTTATTTTTATGAGGACTTGATCCCCGTAGGGAATCAATATGACACTGCATTAACAGAGAGAAGGAAAGAGTCAAACTGTCAATTAATTTTTCCTTCTGCAGTACTGTCCATCCTGTGAAAGCATAAAAATGAAAACATTTTATACTTACACAAAGAGCAGAAAAATTATCAAAACAGTATTCTTCTGACCCCTGCTGGTTAAACAGTGGGAAAACCAATTCCTATTCAATCAACAGCTTGCTTCTATCAATTACTCTAAAATATCTGATAATATCATACCCAAAAAAATAAATATTTATATTCAGTAATGCCACTACAATTAGATGGCCAACTCACTGAAACATTCTGTAGTTAGGAGCATCCCTTGCAGAAAGGAGTATAAGCATTAAATCACTTTGCTTTTCCTTCAAAATTTAGCTTCCCTTCTTTTAAAATTATGTTTATTCTCCAGACTGCCAGAGGGGAAAAAAAAAATCCATAGGAACTAATTAAGGCCACCAATGGTCCAAATAAGAGACTATACTAGTGAGTTTTGAGCTTGTTTCTAAATAGGAACTAGAGCAATAAAATCCTGAAGTCATTTTCTCTCAAAGTCCAACCATCAATTAAGATCTTATTTTAATTTAATTAAAATAAGTGTGGAGCTTTTTGTTTTTTCCTTTTGTGTTGGGGTAGAAGTAGTGGAAAGTAGAGTGGAAAAAGACACTGCATAGCTGCTGCATCATAAGATCGTTTTATGATCCCTTCTACTCCACTCTGGTGAGACCCTCTCTCTGCTAAGGCCCCTCCCTGCAGACAGACTGCGATACCGTTTCTAGTAAATTCTGCAGAAATTCTTACTAGAAGTTTTACAAGCAAAAGGTGGTGTGCACTCCTGGAGTGACAAGTTGCCTTCCAGACATCTCTCAAAATGTATTTAAAAAAATGTGTAAAAGCAAAGTACTCCTAGTAATACAATGATGGAGGCTGGATCAACACTTAGAGGACATGGCTTACAAAGGCAGAACAGTCAAAACACAGATTTAGCTCACCAAATTATGTCTGTTAAAAATAATTTGCTTTAAGGGATTTTTCTCCTTTCCGAATGTGTTCAGTATCTTAGATTTCTAAAACTGGCCAAGAATAAGATATATACCAATGCACAACTGCTACATGGAATCCAAAAGTACAGCCAAAATCCAGTTTTACTTGTAACTGGAGAGGCAGAATGATAGGGGGAAAGGTCTCCTGACATAACAGGGTGTCCTGGGTTCAGCAGTAGCAGTCAGTTTTCTCTTTCTTGGTAGCTGGTGCAGTGCTGTGTTTTGACTTTCAGCCTGGGAGCAGAGCTGATAAAAATGATGTTTTGGTTTGGCCAAGGACTTTGTGAGCCTCATGCTCTGCCAGGGAGGAGGGGAAGCTGGGAGGAAGCAGAGACAGGACACCTGACCCAAAATGACCAAAGAGGTATTCCATACCACAGCACGTCATCCCCAGGATGTAACTGGGAGTTACCTGGAAGGGCTAGGTGGATGGCAGGGTTGGACGAGATATCAGTCGGTGCTTGGTCGGGCTGGGGAGGCAAGTTATTGGTCGGCTGGTGATGAGGTGTTGTATTCTCTTCCCTTGTTATTTCCTTTATCATTACTATTATTGGTGGTAGCAGTAGTGATTTGTGTTATACCTTGGTTACTAGACTGTTCTTATCTCAACCCGTGGGAGTTGCATTCTTTCTGATTCTCCTCTCCGTCCCTCCAGGAGTAGGGGGAGGGCAAGAAGAGGAGGGGAGTGGGTGAACAAGCTATCCGGCTGGGGTTAAACCATGACACAGGGACTACCAATTCTTCTGCAGATCATTTTTGACTTACATACAACTCATGTGAAGACAAAACTTACACTTAAGACTACTTATCTAGCTGCTCCAACATATTTTAACACAAGTACATTACTTTTCAGTTGTCAGAGCATAGAGAACTCAGGAGAACCACGGCTGGTAGGGCTTTTTGTGGAAGAGTAGTTAGGGTTTTGATTTGGGGTTGGGTTTTTTTCTTTTTGGAAAGAGATTTCCCCATTTGGAATTTGAATTATTAAAGCAATTTTATCAGCTTTAATTGTAGACTATAATTTAGAGAAGAAAAAGTAAGCCCTGAATAGCAAGATAGAAATACCGCATCTTTCATGCTATTTTCTAACGTAGAGGCATAATGAAACAGAGACCCTCCACAAAGTCAAAGGCTCTTGAACTTCCAAAGTTCAGCATGACAACACTGGCAATTAAAATAACACACAGAAACTCACACCCTGGAACAACCTAATGAAATGTTTCAAAAATATGCCCAAATGCAGCGTTTTGAAAGACAATGAAAGGGAAAATGTTTCATTAACTAGGAATTTCAAAGTGGGCATTGCTCAAAAAGACAGCATCCATGTACCAAACATACTGCTTCAAGATACTACGATCCACCCAGAAAGAATGATCTTATTCTTACAGAACAGATTTATATAGCTGAAGAGTTACAACAAATGTAGCCATGGAAAATACTATGTTACCTTCCTTTTTTAACCATTTCACAATGTTTCCTTCTTCCATGGTAGGAGACAGTGCAGGCATGAGGACTTTAATACCAGGTATACCTGTAAAACAAGCACATGATTAAACACTTTTTCAGTATAACTACGTTCTCAGTTAACTGCTTAACACAAATGAAACTAAAAGTACATGAATCTGAAAGACACTGGAACAAGATTCACTATGATGCTTTTTTAGGCTTGCATATGAGCATGCACTCTCAAGGGCACCAAAGAAAACATGGTACTCAGTATAGAACCTGCATGTTACACAGAGAACAAGGTCAACTTCAGTATGCAGTCTTTAATACAAAATATTAAGCAAATTAAAATCTCTTTTACGTAAAAATATGATACATAAACTTTGGCTCTGCTGAAGATGACTTCAGATACTTACCTGCTTAAGCTTTGATTCAATTTTTAACAGAAACTCTGTTCATGACCAAGATTTTGTACATTATTAAAAATATACAAACCAGTGTTTTCAAGTACCCCTCCATCCAGCCTGACCTACCGAACCATCCTTCAGCAGATGGAAGTGAAAGAGGGTTACATAACTTGGTCAACAGAGATGTAAACAGAAAATAACCACAGCTTAGCTGTGTGTGGTTGGAGCCCCATTGTGCGTAGAATGAAAAAGCAGCTATAAAATATAAACACTAGAAAATAAAACAAACAAACAAACCAGCAGCTATTTGAAGCTGTGATTACTTCATAGGATATGATCCTATGACTTGTCCTCTTATTTCCTGGTTGTCAGGAAAGGAAGGCTGAACATAAGATTTGTCAGATATAAGCAAGCCCAGAGGAGAGAACACACACACACATACCTCAGTCCTCAAGAGAGGCCAAAACTGCTGTACTCAAAAGAAACTGGATTAGAGGTATTGATATGTTCCCTGCTGATGAACCATGCTGCGCTGCAGGAGTGTAACTAACTCCACTCACAAATTCCTCTGTGGTATCTACCACAGTTCTTCTTCCTAGTTATGCAGTATGCCGGCAGTACGATTATGTATGTACCGGACAGGCAAGCATCTTCTGTCTCAGAGGACTTCTCCATCCTCAGGCTTCGAGTCATGGGCTTGCAAGCATGAAGACTGAATGGGGCATAAATGTGCAGAACATACCTAGCCACTTCTTAGAATCCTTTCTGACTCTTTACCAAGGGCTAGATACTCACACCCTGATTATGACCTCTGTCTCAATGCTGAACTGCAACATTAAGAGCACACCAAGGCAAAATATGTAATCCCATTTCCCCAAAATTCAAACACTAAAAAAAGAAATGAGAATTCAGAGTCTTGAATTCCTAGACCATAAGCTTTGCTGGTCTTATTAAAATCCAGCACAGACACTACATACTCCTCTCTCCTCCTCTTGGCTGCAGGCTGTGGAATTTTTTTCAGGATTAAAGTGTATCTTTGAAATTAATAAAGCCCCCATGATACTAGCACTCCAAACACTGATGATCCACCTCTTTCACTGATGAACTTTTCCCATGTATACTTATTCTTTCTGTTGGGACACCATATTTACTTTTCAGGTTTGTCCTGGGTTCAGCATTGGCAGTCATTTTTCTCCTTAATAGCTGGTGCAGTGCTGTGCTTTTGACTTTCAGCCTGGGAACAGAGCTGATAACACCCATGTTTTTAGTTGCTGCTCAGTGACTTAGTGAGTCTCATGATCTGCCAGGGAGGAGGGGAAGCCGGGAGGAAGCAGAGACAGGACACCTGACCCAAACTAGCCAAAGAGCTATTCCATACCACAGCATGTCATGCCCAGTATATAAACTGGGGGCAGTTACTCGGAAGGTAACTAGATCACTAGATCACAAGCTAGATCACTGCTCAGTCAGGCTGGGTATCGATTGGTGGGTGGTGAGCAGTTGTATTCTCTTCGCTTGTAATTTCCTTTATGATTATTATTATTGGTGGTAGTAGTAGTGATTTGTGTTATACCTTAGTTACTGGACTGTTCTTATCTCAACCCATGGGAGTTACATTCTTTCGATTCTCCTCCCCATCCCTCTGAGAGCAGGGGCAGGAAGTGGGGGGAGTGAGTGAACGGCTGCATGGTACTGAGTTACAGGCTGGGCTTAAACCACGACAAGGTTGAAATTGACCAATTTCAACTTTCCGCAGTTACATCTTATGTCTTTGTTGCAAAGCTTGGAAGATTTCTTGTTACAGAGTCCCTTCTTGTGACTGTCTATATACGGAGACAAGGTCAATTCTTAGCCTTTTCTTTCCTTTGACAAAACAAAATAAAAAGATCTGAGAAGTTCAGTGCAGGTAAGCAACACACCACCATAACCTTTCAGGCCCTGAAGCACCAAATACTAGGCACAGCCATGCAGCAGATCACTTCAATCTGCCAGCTGACTGATTCTATTTAGTAAACCCAGACCTGGAAAAGTGGCACTACACAGCAGCAAGACCCATCCCATGGCAGGGGGTTCTTCCAAGGACAGGGTTCATGACACAGCCCATGCCTTGGCCAAGCACACTGTATCTCTTGTCATTTGATCCAGTATACCCTAGCAGCATTCTGTCGTACAGCTTGTAATACAAGATATATTACCTTTCTGAGCTTTTAAGCGTAGTTCTGAGGCCAAATAAATATATCTTTCTAGATACTGATCTGTATGAGATTTTTGAGGTTCTTTCTTGAACTAGTATATCTGAATCTCTATTCAGTTAGAGAAGTAGACACGTAGAAAGTACATTGTATAGAACAGCAAGATTCTGCTCCTCTGATAGCCAGCGTTAAGGGTTATTATAATTCCATGGGAAACACCACCACATTTCTACCAGTTGCCGTACTGTTTACAGCGAGTAGCACTGAAAACTAAAAACTTAACCCCTTCCCTCGCTCCCCATTATCCAGAAGAAAAAGAGTAAGGAAAGAACCTAGAAGAATTCTGAGCTGAAAAGCACATCACCTGGAGTGAAAGTGCTTCTCATCCTTACTTCCAAGTCCTAGAAGTCACCATGGTGAAGAACTCAGAGAACACAAAGCCAGTACTGAAACTTCAACTAATGCACAATGCTTTAAGGGAATTAATTGTCCACCCATGTTCTGTAATTCACTAATGTTAATACATACAGTAAAACTGACCTTGTCTGTCACATTGCTACAGGATTATGAAGGAATAAATCATTACATTTGTAGAAGACTACAGCTATTCAACCATATTTCAGAGATAAGGTAAAGACATTACATACATTTTTTCCATTATTTCCACTGTTATTTAATCTCTCTTCCCTCACCTCTCTAGTGGATGGACCTCAAGGCCCATCCTTGGTGCAATGCCCCTCCCACTGTAAGAGATCAGGATTGTGACCACCGGAGGAACCTGAACATCTATAAGTCTATGGGACCTGACAAGATACATCCCAGAGTCCTGAGAGAACTGGCTGATGTAGTTGCCAAGCCAATCTCCATGATATGTGAAAAGCCATAGCAGTCAGGTGAAGTCCCTGGAGACAAGAAAAAGGGAAACATTGCAGCCCTTTTTAGAAAAGGGAAAGGAGGACCCTGGGAACTACTGACCTGTCAGCCTCACCTCTGTGCCTGGGAAGATTATGGAACAGATCCTCCTAGGAACTCTCCTATAGCGCATGGAGGACAGGGAGGTGATTCCAGACAGCCAGCATGGCTTCACCAAGGGCAAGTCCTGCCTGACCAGCCTAGTGGCCTTTCTATGATGGAGTGACTACATCACAGAAAGAGGAAGAGCTAAGGATGCCATCTATCTGGACTTCTGTATGGCCTTTGACATGCTCCCCCATAACATTCTTCTCTATAAATTGGAGAGAGATGGAGTATATGGGAGGACTCTTCAGTAGATGAGGAATCGATTATGGTCACATCCCAAGGGCAGTGATAACAGCTCAGTGTCCAGATGGAGACTGGTGGTGAGTGGTGTCCCTCAAGGATCCATACTGGGACCAATACTGCTTAATACCTTCATCAGTGACACACACTGTGGGATCCAGGCAAGCTTCAAAGTCTGCAGACAACACTAAGCTGAGTGGTGCAACTGACATGCAACTGAGGGACAGAATACCGTTCAGAGAGACCTGGACAGGCTGGAGAGGTGGACCCATGTTAACCTCATGAGGTTCAACAAGGCCAAGTGCAAGGTGTCCCGCACGTGGGTTTACTGGGACAACCCCTGGTATCAACACAGGCTGGGGGTGAAGGGACTGACAGCAAACTTGAGGACAGGGACTTGGGGATAGTGGTGGATGAAGAGCTGGACATCAGCCAGCAATGTGTACTCAAAGGCCAGAAAGCTACCTACCTGGTAGCATCAGGCACTCCCATCTCTCTGCCACCTCTCACACAGCCTTTACCTCTCCCCAGCACCACCTATGTTCACCCCTCACTTAACTCTTACACACGCACCCCTGCAACGGGCCGTCGACACAAGCACTCGACTAATAACGTCGGGTGCAGGATGCACCCATCACTCACCCAGCAGCTCCCGGGTCCCATGCAGACACCTCCAGCCCCCTCGAGCGAAGACCACGCCAGCGCCCAGAGCTGGCGGCCGCCCCAGCAGCAGCCGCGCCACTTTTCCACCGCAGCTCACCCACAAGGAAGCCGCCATCTTGTTTCTCCTCTCTTCCCTGCCTTCCCCAGTGCCGGGGCTGTCTCTCTCACTGCCTGAGCAGAAATAAAAATCGGCCCGCCCGACACCCGGTACTGCGCCTTTTCCGCACACCAGACCCGAGGAGGGACTGGTCTGCACATCCCACCACGTCCAGCCCACTAGGATATCGCACGGCTCGGTGATACACAGCCGCGGTAGACAGGCGCTCAGAGGGCAGGCCCCAGAAAAGGGTCCCCCCCACCATCGTCCGCCCACACGGGCGCCATGGCAGCCAACGGCATCGGCGCCAGCGACCGGGACGCCGTGCAGGTAACGCGGGGCTGCCCCCTACCCCTGCCACTGCGGCCCAGGTAACGCAGGGCAGCCCCCTGCCCCTGCCGGCAGCTCACGGTCCCCTCGCCGGCTGAGAGGGACTGCTGGCGGCTTGACATGCGACAGTGAACCGGCATAAGCCTTAACCGGCGTGTCCAGGCCCCGCCTTGGCACTTGGGCACTGCTGAGGGCTTCTCGCTCTGCCCGTCAGGCGCACACGTTGTTACTTATCAGAGAGCACAGAGGCGTTAGGAAATGTATTACACTTCTCAAAGTGCTGCCGGCTGGCAGTCCACCTGCAGTTACAGGGCTCGTGGCCCTTCTATTTGTGGTAACTCTGGGGAGTTAAGTTTGGTTTATTTTGGCCTTTCTCTCTGTTTGATTGTTTGGGTTGTTGGGTTGTTGTTTTTTTCCAGAATCAAAGAACAGTTTGTGTTGGAAGGGACTTTAAAGCTCATCCGGTTCCAATCCCCTGCCACAGGCAGGGACACCTTCCACTAGACCTGGGTGCTCCAAGCCCTGTCCAGCCTGGACTTGAACACTGCCAGGGATGGGGCAGCCACAGCTGCTTTGGGCAACCTGTAAATATATAAAATCTTGTCACAGACATGAAAGAGCCTCATCTTTATGCCTGTAACTGTCTGATAAGAGACAACAAGCTTAAGTTTTAGCAAGCAGTGTTTACTTTAGACCTTAGGAAAATATTTCAAACCTGGGGCAGCTAAACAAATTGCCTGTGGAGTTTGTGACTCATGAGGTTTTAAAGGTGAGGTTAAAGTAGGAGCTTCCAAACCTTGTCAAACTCACCCCAGGCTGCCATTTCCATCCCTTCACCTTCCCAGCTGTTGATGGTCCAACACCAACTGGAAGCAATTTCCTGGGGCATGCAGCCTCCTGTAGCAGCATCACTAAGATGGAACTGGTCTGTCTGTGGGCCGTCTCTTCAGAGGAGCTGCTCCGTGTAATTCCAAGGGACAGGGAACAATCTCGAGCTCCTCACAGAATCCCAGTTCCATTTTGCCGTAGTCTTATGATCTCACTTCAGACCATCAAAGGTCACTGTCTTCAGTGTTAGAAAACTGTGGTATCGGGGTGGGGAGAGGGAACAGAGACAACAGCACTTTTTTCTTAATGTTTCAAGCAAAAGAATTTTACAAAGTAACTACTTGTCTCCCAGTTTTGGCCTGTGCTATTTTTTTGCCTTTTGTTTGGGGTTTTTTTTGCCTTTGTTATCTTTATTATGTGGTTGTTTAACCCCTGTAATGTGCCTTCCCCCTACTAAACAAGCATTCCTCTTGGAAATGGCCTTTTATGGGCGTAAATGACTAAACTGAGCACTAGAGGACTATTTTCACTTATCAAAAAATAAAATAAAATCCTGTTAAAGTTTCTAATTGCTGCAGTAAAAGAAAGAAAAAAAAACTAAAAAAGGCAAACCATAAATGATCTGTTTCGTTTGGAGATCTGTAGTTGCTTTAAAAATTGGCAGTCTGTGTCGTTTAAGCAGAGTAAGAATCCACATCGCCCTGCTTTCCTGTCTCTTCCTTACAATTATTCCTTTTCCTCACTTAAAAAACCCTTTTGTGCATTATAGAATCCTTGTATGGTGGCGAAGGTGTTGTAAAAAATAAACTTTTTTAAGGGATCATGACATTATTTTTGCAATTTTGGTTTAGTTGATGCATTTCTATGCTAAAGACAGATTTTAAACAGAAATCTGCCAGTTTATTATTGGTACTTTTCTCACTTCATGTATACAGTGTAGCACAAATCTGGTTTACTACATCAAACTTACCACTACATGGCTATTCAGAGAAACCTCATCATTATTTACTACCTGTCAGTATGAAATATCAACAGTATGATTTCATCTGTGCATCCTGTGCTTACTTCTGACAAAGATCTATGATTTCTAAGCAGTTTAGGAAAGGCAAGTACATATTTCAGGCACTTTATATTTACTGTAATATCTTAAAATATCCACACTGTAGTTCAGCTTTACACCTTTTGAAAATTATCCTCAAACCTTTACAAATTGTGTTTGTTCTACAAGTAGCCTGGGTCTACCTTGATTTTTGTTACATTGGATACACACTCTGTTATGGGGTTTTGGGTCAGGAGGGTGGGTTTGTTTGATGTTTTAAATCGTATTAGGTAAAGTAATTTAAATAAAATAGGAAAAAGCTCATTTTCCTTGAGCAAGCACCATCTTCCAGAATGCAATAATATATTTTTTAAAATAGACTTGACTGCTGAAAATAGATTCTAATTTTTCTGTGAATACTTCCAGTCAGTTTCTGGTTAGAGATTTACCAGCAAATTTGTTTTCAAAACAATAATGGATTGAAAAATTTGTCACTTCTTTTAGTTCATGGAAATCTGTAGAGTTTTCATTGATATATAACAACATGTAGAAACTGGTGGGCCAGTTCCTGAGTTGGAGATATGAAAAAAGAGACAGCCAATGGGATCTGTACTTCAACTGGAAAATCAAACTTAAAATACTGCTAATTGAGATTTGACAAAGTGTAATACTGTTGAGTTGCCTTCTGCTTTCACACATGTTCACTCCCAGGCTTATTATAGCAATTATGCGCTTTTAATTATGGAAAGAAGTGTCATTTTTATCATCAGCAATTTTAAACATGAAATAATTAGATTTTTGTTCAGCTAGTTTATGATTATGATTAGTGTCTACTGATCCTGGGAAAATACTGTTAAACTCCAAGGATTGATTTATAATCCTGGAATTCTCAGTGAAGTAGTCAAAATTCCTTGATTATATTTCTTTTCATATGTTTTTGCAAAAGTAGTTTCTGATTTTGAGCTTTGCAGAATTATTTTAGATGATTTATAAAAGTGGTGAAAAGCACCCGTGTTATCCCATTAATATAAATTTTGCAGTAAATGCCTAGATTCGTCCAACAGGGAAAACATGAAACAACTGTGGGAATGTTATAATTTTTTTTTTTCATGGCTGTGTACATTCAATAAATAATAACAATATAAACCTATTTTGTATAAGCTTATTCCATCAAAAGTAGAAGAGACATAATTTTTCTTTGAAATAAAAAAATAGTGGTTGTAGTACCTAGGTTAGGAATAGACAGCAATGTTATTTTGAATAAGAATTAAACAAGATACTATGGGACTCAGTTTTGTGACAGGTGAATTAGGTACAGGTGTTAATTCTGTATCAATAAATCAGAACAATGAAACAGCAACACATAATTTACACATAGCTGTGCTTGTTTTGTGTTTGTAAACATAAAACACGTGCATTAATGCCTGTGGCAGGGGGTTGGAACTAACTGAGCTTTAAGGTCCCTTGCAGCTTAAACCGTTCTGTGATTCTGTGAAGTTTGAAGTATTCATCAGGTGTAATGCATATAAAAAAAGAATTATGTGAGAGTTGTCTGCAGTAGGAGGGGACTGTGTTTGGTGACCTAAAGGTTTAGTCTGCCTAAAACTGTTCCATTTTTCTGTTGAAAGCAATGCAAGAAGCACATCTGTTGTGCTTAATTTCTGATTTCTCTCACACACCCATATAAGATACAAACCCATCTGTATTGCTGTGATAATGGGGTGGAAATCTTATTCTATCCCAGGGAGATAATTTGTCATAAATAAATTGTCATAAATTGCTTTGTCTCGCTGTTTACTTCCTTACCTGATGAGTTCAGTCCTATCAGGATCTTTGTGAAAGAACACAAGATTTTTATCTTTACACTGGTAAAGGGGGGGGGGGGGGAGGGGGAAGGGAGAATCTCACTTTTTGTTTTCTCAAATAACCTGAAAGAAATACTTCAAACAACATGCAAATGTATATATTCAAGCGCACAGCATGAATTAAAATAACTTCTCACGGTTTTCTCTGTGTATACTGGTTATATTTCTTATGTGAATGAATCCAACATGAAAAATGTTTAGCTTTGTAACGTAGCACTCAATCCAAGACCACTGCCTGTTAGGTATGGCTTTTTTGTTTTGTATGTTCAGTACAGAGTAATGTTTAGAATTTCCAATAAATAGTTTTGTCTTGTACTGTAAACCCATTCTGGTTTAGATGAACTATGTGATTAATCTGTGACACTGCAGCTACTTTGGTTAATGGATAGTTATTGATGTACTGAACAGTGGAATACTGAAAAAAATATTTTTTTTCTTCTGAAAGAAATATTAAAAAATGCTATTTGCCTTCTGGCTAAACTGCATGTGAGGTAACCTCACATTGTAAAAATGTAGGAATGTGAACTTCATCAAATAATTTGCTTGTGTCTTCTATGGTATTTTTGACTGCTATGTAAAAATAGAACAGAACAAATAAAGTCTCTTCTACTGAAATTTGTAAATTAAGCAAAATAAACCTGCAGAAAACTGATTCAATTGGAAAAAGTTAAACTTTTCAAAACGGGTAATGTTAGATGCATTTATTTTTCTTTTCTAATAACAATAGTCTACGACCTAACCTTGCTGGGATAAGACCTGTGGGCCACTGCACTTAAATTTGAGATGAAATCTTTCCTGGGAAGGATAGTCAGACATGCATTTTGGGGAGTGGGGAGCTTTTGTTTGTTCCTTTTAAGGTGTTAATGGCTCCTGCAAAGCATAAAGGGCATTGTACAAACAGCGTCATGTTGTAACTGAAATTCGTAAGCATAAATCAAGACTGTCATACTGCAGTATAAAAGTAGTGTCCCCTTAAACTTAATTTCAGCTTTGAAATGCTTAGATTTATGATGTTTC